TTTAGGGTTTAGGGTAACCCCAAACCCGGCAAGCGAGGCAACCTCCGCGGCCAGCAGCGCAATCACTCGGCCCGTGAGAAGCGGAGTCTCAGCGGCTCGGCGCAGATCCTGCGAGGGTTTGGGATTTTGGGGTTTGGGGGTTTGGGATTTAGGTTTTGGGGGGTTTTGCGGGTTTGGGGATTAGGATTTGGGGGTGTTGGGGTTTAGGGTTTGGAGGTTTTGGGGTTTAGGGTTTGGGGGTTTTGGTTTGGGGTTTAGTGTTTGGGGGTTTTGGGGTTTGGAATTTATGGTTTGGGGTTTTGGGATTTGGGATTTGGCGTTCAGGTTCGGGTGTGAAAGGATGTTGTCAAGTCTTTGTAGGATTTCGGGGTTCGAGCATTCCGTTTAGGGGTTCCTTGCAAGGTCCTATAGGGTACCATCGGATTCTGATAAAACTTGAGATTTGGGGTTATAGGGTTTTGCGTTTCGAGCTCTAGGGCTGTTCGACACTCCAGGCCAAAAAATTGGCTTTCCGAAAAATTCCCATTTCATCCGTTTGGGGCTCCCGTGCAGCGAAACTCTACTTTCATTGGGTGTTGGGGTGGTCAGGTCTATAAACCGGTTTCAGACTCTACTACGGCTTTAAGTGGTAGAAGCGCCAGAGAAAAGCATTTCCGTGCATGGGCCAGGCATGGCAACATGCATCCACACGGCCCTGTTCAAACTACTTGGGAGTTTCCGAAAACAAGGGGTACCGTATTTTGGAGTCCTTATTACCCTAAACCCTACACCCTATACACCCTAAACCCTCAACCCTCAACCCTATAAACCCTAAACCCTGTAAACCTTAAACCCTATAAACCCTAAACCCTAAACCCTTGTAACAAAGGATCCTCCTATTTGGAGTACTATCTTAGGTTCCCCTATTTTCGGACATCTGGAGATGCAGGGCAGGACCCGCCTTAGACTTCAAGCGGTTTCATGCAGGACCAACTTCAAAGCCGAAAGGCGACAAAGCTTGCCGGTTTAGGGTTCATAGTTCATAGGGTTTATAGGGCTTATAGGGTTTAGGGTTTAGGGTTCAGGGTTTAGGGCTTTTAGGGCTTATAGGGTTTAGGGTTCTGGGTTTGTAGGGCTTATAGGGTTCAGTGTTTAGGGTTTGGGGCGATTCTGACCTGGCCTGGCCACCAGCGATGCGATCCAGCCGCTGCGGATCATCACGCATCAGCTGCTGCACCTTTGGGGTTTACTCTGATTAGTAGCTCCGTGGACTCTAGACGAGACCCTCAAGCAAGCTTTTTTGCACGAATCCGCCGTGTCGGTTTCTCTGGGTGCACGGAGGTGTGGCGAGAGACTCCGTCACCTCCCCGGACTAAGCATTCCGGCTTTGTACAGCTTCTGCACTCAGGCTCAAACTAACCGACTAACCTAAAGGGCTTGCTCAAAAAAGGCCCATCTACCCCCTAGTAGACCCTGAATACCCGTTATGTGGGACCATATACCCCTACTTGTGGGTACAAGGAGGGTCCTAGTACAACCGCGCTCTCTGGGCGCAAGGGTCTGCGCAGATCAGTCCCTAGAGCCATCGAACCCAGGTTCGGAGTTTGGAAGCTTCAGGGTGATACTGCAAGTAAATGCCGCGTGTTTATATATATATATATATGTATGTATGTTATATCATATTGCAGTATATTATCGTATATTATGTTATAATACATTATAATATATTATAGTATATTATCATGCATTATACAGTGCACTATCGTACATGTATATTCCTTGACCACGCACATCTTCCCCCAAAGGGGTACTGGCACGGAGCGCGGGAGGTGTCAGGAGGCCGGGAAGGAAACCTCCCATCATCCCACTTCTCGGGCAGCATCGTGCCTCAGCTTGTGTAGAATGACACTGAGCCGTACCCCTAAACCCTACACCGTTACTTAGGGTTTAGGGTTTTAGGGTTTATGGTTTAGGGTTCAGGGTTTAGAATTTAAGGTCCACCCTAAATACCTCTTTTGAGGATGTCTGCTTGGCAAATAAGTTAAACCTACCCAAGGCACGTCTTCGTCAAGTCCTCCGGAGCGGATGTGCTTTTCGTATGGTCGGGCTCAGGGCGGCCACGTGCTCCTGCTGAGATGATTCAAATGCTCGAGGGCTTACGAACAAGATGTTAGGGTTTCAGCCTTGCCCAACAAAGTAAGTAGATAGGTGAGAGCGCAAGAGCACCATCCACGCGATCCACAAACCCCTAAACCCTAAACCCGAAGCCAGATCTTTCAGCACACCACCCTCAGCCGCACCCCTGAACCCTGGATTCACCCTGAACCCTGTAAACCCCCAAACCTCCATGACGCAGACCCCTGTGGCCGAACGTCCTACCCTTGGCCCCAAGACCGAGACACCCAACCTCCCACGCCACTCGAATGCCGGACATTGCCAAAGCCAGGAAACAAGCAGCGCCAAAAGTCTTGCAAATTCGAACGCCTCAAGAAAACGCACAGACAAGCACCCCGATCCGCAAAAAATGCGATCAGAACTGAACCCTCTAAACCCCCACGGCCTCAGCCTGAACACCTTAATGTAGGGGCCTTAATAATAAGAATAGGGTTTTGCGGGTCCCTTATAATAAGTATAGTATAGTATACCCGAACACCCTATTGTAATTGCTAAGGCCCCTCTATCAAACCCCGAACTCTGAACCCCGATTACCTCGAACCCGCCCCGAGCGTCCCTAAAGGCAGCCGCAACCCTCAAGGCTCTAGCTAGCTATAGTCTCCTTTCTACTTCTTTTTTGGGTCTAACCAATTTTATAGTTAGGCTCCCATAAGGTGACCCTCATAAGGAATTACAAAGGAGACTATAGGTAAACAAAACAGAATAAACTGAGATTGGAGGTTTGATAAGGGCTCTCTACCAAAGTGTAAGCATGCTAAGGGAGCAATAGTATCGCTAGTCGCAAGTTATTGAACTTAATCGAGATGTGGGCTTTAATTTTGAATGATCACTACAGGGACCCCTATCATCTGTCTGATAACATTGGCAAGTATTCGGGCCCTATACGAATTCCGGGAGGAACCGCAGCCCGCGCCTTCGGCAGATCCGCGCAAAGCGCTCGTAGCTTCAAGGCCTAGGCACCAGCGTCCTCAGGCTTCGCGTGGTTTGGGCTTCAGGGCTTACCTATAGTCTCCTTTGTAGTTCCTTTTTGGGGCGACCTTATGGGATCCGAACTATAAAGCTGGCTCAACCCCCAAAAAGGAACTACAATGGAGACTATAGGTAGTGTTTGGAGTTTACGGTTACGGTTTGCAGGCACTACGTGGTTTAAACTTTCATAAGGGGGGTGTAAAGCGCTTCGATGTGTTGCATAATGGAGTGTCCGTGAGTTTTCACAAGATGTCTATAGCCATGAGAGCATCCGCGTGCAAACTTCCGAAGCATACTAAAGGGTACCCGGGGTGGGTGGTCCCTGCAAGCCCTCAACCCTTAGACCACCACGGTTAAAGGCAAGAAAACTTCAGTGCAAAACCTGCCGATCCCTGACAAAAGTGGAACCCTAAACCGAAACCCAACCTCCTCAAGTCCTCTTGAAACAACCCAACATCATAGGGTTTAGGCTTAACTTTAAGCCCTACCCCCCGAGAGGCCTGGAATTTGGAAACCCTGATAACACCGGTTGTATAAGGCACCCGTCAAACTTCCCTTAACAAAGAATACAACACCCCATATCTATCAAACTTTAAACCAGAACCCTAAACCCTAAACCCTAAACCCTAAACCCTAAACCCTAAAGGCCCTACAATTTGAATCCTTAGAGGAACCCTTAAAGCCTCCTGGTAGGAACCCTAAACCTTAGACCCTAAACCCAGAACCCTGAACCCGAAACCCTGATCATTTCCAAAACGCCTAAAGCCCTATGTTACCCTTAGTGGAACCTGTAGGAACCCTTAAAACCCTTAAGAGGAATCCCACAAACGCCAAAAGGCAGGGTCTTTCCCCTAAACCCTAAACCCTTAGGCCCTATGTTGCCCTTAATTGATCCTGCAGGAACCCTTACAACCCTATGCAACAAAAAAGGAATCACCCCTAAACCCTAAGCCCTAAACCCTTTTTGAAAAAAAGAAATCATCCCTAAACCCTAGACCCTAAACCTTATTAAAAAAGGGGAATCAGCCCTATACCCTAAACCCTAAATTTAAAAAAGGGGAATCACCCCTAAACCCTAAACCCTATTTAGAAATAGGGATCCTCCAGGAGCTTCGTCTCTCCGTGCTCGTCCGTGCGCCAGCCGTACTCGAAAGCCCGGGCGGAGGCGTCCTCGTAGGGTCTCTTGAAAACTGTGTAGGGTGTAGGGTGTAGGGTTTAGGGTGTAGGGTTTAGGGTTTTAGGGTTTAGGGTTTAAGGTTTAGAGTTTAGAGTTTAGGGCTTAAGGGTGTTAGGGTTTAGGGTTTTAGGGTTTTGGTCTTTAGGGTTTTAGGGTTTAGGGCTTTAGGGTTTAAGGGTTTAGGGCTTAGGGCTTAGGGTTTAGAGTTTAGGGCTTTAGGGTGTTAGGGTTGAGGGTTTTAGGATTTGGAGCTTTAGGGTGTTAGGGTTTGTGGGTTTTAGGGTTTAAGGTTTTAGGGTTTAAGGGTTTAGGGTTTAGGGTGGATCCCTTTCAGGGTTCCTGTCAGGAGTGCTATAACAACTTGAGAGAACTACACGTTTGAGGCTTCGGGGGTCTATAGGACTTGTGAGGTTGAGCGCTTTCTGCTTTGATGTTTAGAAGTGCGGTGAGTCGATGTCCCTCAAACCCTGAAGGGCTTCGGGTTTAGGGTTTAGGGTCGAAATCTTACAGTACGCGGCACCACAACGAGGACAGCGGCAGAAGTGTGAAAATTCTATGACATCAGGAACGACCCAATATAGACCCCCCCAAGTATAAAGTCCTAAAGCGTGCACGAATATCAATAACCCTCAGACACCTCTGCAGAGTCCGAAAAACCTATTAAAACTCAGCAAAACTCAATGGAAGCCCCCTCCCTTGCGGCGCTCCATCAGAAGATCGAAGCGATCGGAGGGCGGCACAGCTATTGTGACCTCGGAGGGACTCCACGCAGGCACTAAGGACTACCTGTGACTAAGCTTCCTTTCAAGCCCCCTAAATATACTATAAGGGCTTTTTAAAGTCCGATTGCCTTTGTTATAATAAGTATAGAAGTAAGTTCTAATAAAGTTACTAAACATAAAGATAGACAACGAAGGAATGGTTCTGTTGACTTAGCAAGGCAAAGGGAACTTAGGAACGGCACTGTAAAGCTTCTTCAAGACTTGCTCCACTGCTACCTGGTTCAAGAGAAGACGGATCATAACACCGAAACGACTCAAAAAGCCACGCGATGTGTGCAGCCTACCGGACCCTAAACACCAGAATTCTGGAGGCTTAGATCACTTCAAACGCTTCTCTCTCTCTACACCCAGGACCCAAGACCAGAATACGCCCTTCGAGCTCCGACAACCAAAATGCCCTTCATTCGGAAATCTAGCCAACGTTGTGTTCAGCATCCTGATGAGGTCTAGTGAGTCTGAATCACTTGGTGAAGGGCGTTTGAGTTTTCAGAACTACCCTAAACCCTAAACCCTAAACCCGAAGCCCTAAACCCTAAACCCTAAATCCTAAGCCCCAAACCCTAAACCCGAAAGCCTAAACCCGAAACACAAAGCCCCCACGATCTCGAGCCCAGCGGCCCGCTCAGATGACTTCAGGTCTTCGGGCGGCGGCAGAGAGACCTCGAACCGGGGAATGTAGGGTTTAGGGTTTAGGGTTTAGGATTTAGGGTTTAGGTTCTGTAGGGGCCTTCGTAACTGTAGAGGTTTAGGGTTTAGGGCCTTATAATAATGTAGGGGCCTCAAGAGTTTCGGGCTCCCTTATACTATAATAAAGTCGTAGTATGGTAATGAATTGGGGCTTTCATAAGTATAGGGTTTAGGGTTTAGGGTTTAGGGTTTAGGGTCTGGGCTCCTTTATACATTATAATACAGTCGTAGTATGCAACCCTCAGGAAGAACATCGGCAACTATGTAGGCTTCTATCATTACACCACCAGAACCCGAAAGCCCGATCCAAGTATGGAGGCCCTGCAAGAAAGGGGGGGTGAATCATCCTCTGCTTGGTATTTCTGTACAAATGATTCGGATTAGGGGCCTCAAGAGCTGGACTTTCCTAGCCAAGACGCTAACCCTAAACCCTAAACCCCGAAGAGTAAAAGAACACCCAGCCGTCCAAGCCCGACATGTGCAACCCCAGCCCGAGAAATTGTCCGACGTTTTGCAGCCCCAAAAAAGGTTTAGGGTTTAGGCTGTTCAGAGTTTTGGGCTTCGGGTTTAGAGTTGTCACTGTTGAAATACGGGGCCCCAAAGTGGATCCTACCAACTTCCAACATCCACTCATAAGCTCGCATCTACGGTTACTGATTACTGCACCGACTCATAACCCGAAACAACCACGACCTTCGTCGAAAAAAGGCCACACGCCCCAAGCCCTTATGTAGGGGCCTTAGTAGTTAGAAAGGAACCCCCCAAAAAAAAACATAGTATAGGTAACTATTAAGGCCCCTATTATACGTCGAAAAGGCCACACGCCCCAAGCCCTAAACTCAAAGCACAGAAAGCTCTGAACCCCAGCCCCGCTGTAACACGCTTTCAAGTCCTACCACCCCTTATATACAAAACCCCTATTTAAACGTGCAAGCAATTAAACATCTGCTGGAGGAACTACAAACCCCTCAGACCCACAATAACATTCTCAACAACCCTTGGGTTTGTACTATAAGTGGCCTTAGTAACTAGAATAGGGCTTTGGGGGCTCCTTAGAGTATACTATACCCCCGAAGCCCGACTGTAACTACTAAGGCCCCTCTAATTACCGTAAGTGGCAAGGGCACCCGCAGCTTCTGGAGGAAGAGGTTGCCTTTGCCGCGGCCCACGGGCTTCACCAACGCGGAGGGCAGGGCCTCCCGAAGCTACGATTCAGGGTTTAGGGTTTAGGGGCGTTCCAAAACCTGAATCTTAAAACCAGGAGGAGGTTTAGGTTTTAGGGCCAAAGCTACAACCCTAAACCCTGTTCAGCCTGTTCAGTGTTGGGTTTAGGGTTTAGGTTCATTGTAGGTCCTTTTCTGGCTTAACCATGTTAGATCTATAGGATCCGATGAGGTAACCCCCAAAAAGGAACGACAGTGGGGCATTATAGGTAAATCTCAAAATGGACGTGGGAACCTACTCAGTAAACCTGGGAACCGCCACCTTGTAGAGCCTGATTCGTTTCGGATATCTCCAGCGGGACAAATGCCGTCTGGTAAGAAAGCTTCAAAGCTCGTTAACCTTAAAGTTAAGAGTGATGTGAACTTGGTCTTGAAAGCTTGCAAAGCAAGTTCCCACGGCGTCCTCCTCCCTTAAAGGAGCCCTTGAAGGAACCCTTTAAAGATTCCTTTAAGGATGCCTTTTAAAGATCCCTTTAAGGATCCCTTTACAGGATCCCTTTAAAGGAGCCCTTGAAGGATCCCTAACAGGGCTTGAGGCCTTAGGGCTTGCTGGGTGTCGGGTTTTGGGCCGAGAGCCTTTGGATTACGGAATTAAGTTCAAGGTAACAAAACCCTGCTAAGGCACACCAAACCCTGAACCCCCAAAACTACAAACCTTTGTCATGTAAGGGCCTGAATCATTACCAAGACTACGTGTTTTGGGGGGGCCCCTTCTTATAATTCTAGTAGAGTGGGCCCAAAAACCCTAGTCTTGATGATGAAGGCCGCTAACATAGTACCCCATTATAGATCCCGTTTAAAAATTTAAACACTTTAAAGATGCCCCCCCTAAGCAAACCCTATTCTAATGATGAAGGCGGAAAATGTCAAGCCCACCAGAGGCGAGAACTCGAGCCCTGAACTTCTGGGAGTCCAGGCTTCATGCTGATGATTCCCGTAGAGGTTGTTGTGTTTAGGGTTTAGGGTTCAGGGTGTAAGGTTTAGGATTTGGGGGGTTTAGGGTACAGGGTTTAGGGTCTAGGTGTATATATATTTCCGAGGGAAGCTGAGCCTTACGAGTTCGTCAGTGTAAGGACATTTCTCCTAGACAAAGAGCCCCTTTCAAGGAACCCTTAACAGTAACATATGGGTGGTTGTCAAAATTATGGTCCCTTTTTGGGTCCTTACTATAATACGGCACCTATTATTTAGGGTACCCCAATAGGGCCCATAATTTTGACAACTACCCATATGTCTTTTTCTCCAAACCATTTAGGAGAATGCCGACCCGATGGTTCATCCTCGTAAGAGTCTACCAGGGCTACTAGGGGATTTAGTACGTGCCAGCTCTGCCCGTTCTTAGCAGTATATTGGGTCTGGCCACCGAAAAACTCAAAAGACGTTGTATCTTGCCCAAACACCCTAGCTTACTGGGCCGAGGATCCTAGCCAAATAAACGTCAACCTTGTCTCACCACGGTGTTTTTGTGGTCGGTTTCAGGTTTGTACAAACTTAGGGACAGCAGTTTTAGGACGGCCCCCATATACACCCCCAAAACCTTTCACATAAAGGCTACCTGCTCGGCCCCTGAGCCCTGAACCCTAAACCCTAAGCCCTGAAACCCTAAACCCAAAACCCTATAAACCCGAAGCCGTAAAGCCCAAAACCCTAAACCCTAAACCCAAAGCCCTGAAACCCAAAACCCTAAGCCCAAGAGGCCTAAACCCTAACCCCTAGACCCTAAGCCCTGCAACCCAAAATCCTAAACCCTAAGCCCTAAGCCCTAGAACCCAAATCCTAAGCGGTCTGTCGAAGTCAGCCTTCCCCTGCAGTCGCCAGGCTTCTGCCGCGGCGAAGACGACGCCTGCAGGCCAGGAAGCCGAATTTACCGGTTCTTGAGTACAGGGTTTAGGGTTTATTGCTTAGGGTTGAGGGCTTATGGCTTAGGGCTGAGGGTTTAGGGTCAGGGTTTAGGGTTTAGGGTTTGGGGTTTAGGGCTACGGTTCAGGCCAGACACGACTCAATTGCAGAGTACCCTTTCCAATCACACTGAGAAGCCCTGCAAGGTATATTCCTCACTCGAGAAACACACTTGAAAAGGGGTTGATTATGGATCCTATGTTTTACGGTAGATCTGTACCCTCCCCTGCACTAACATGTGACCTGACGAAGTGTCAGCCCTGACACCACTAGCTCTATCCTCGGTGTCTGTCATCTGCTTTGCGGGAAACAACAAAGCTGACAGCCCAGAAACCCCTGGCAGCAACCGGCTGATCCATCTTTTGCAAGGACTAAACACTTACAGTAACCCGAAAGGAACCCTCAATGGGACCCCCTCCCCCTAAACCCTAAACCCTCATACTCACCCTTCGAGAGGGAGCCCTCAGTAGAAGCCTTTTCCCTCAAACCCTGAACCCGAATAATAACCCTCAAAGGAAGCTTAGGGTGCAGGATTTAGGGTTCAGGGTTCAGGGTATATTCAAGTTCATTGCCGTTCAGGGCGTTTGCTGCCTGCGTCCTCGTTGACGATGGGAGCACCGAGAACCTCTCGGCGGGAAGGCTGCAGGAGTTGGAGGGTCTAGAGTCTGTGTAGGGTTTAGGGTTTAGGGTTTAGGGTTTAGGGTTTAGGGTTTGGGGGTTAAATAGGGTTTCGGGCTTTTCGGGGCTATGGTACGGAATTGGGCCTGTAGGTCTTTATGTAGGGCTGACGACTTGTGATGGAGGGTTTGGGGTTGAGGTACAGCAAGACGCAGCTTGGAGCTGCTTGGCTTTAGGGTCTTTCTTAGATGTACGTGGGCTTTGGAATAACCCTACCTGGACCCCCAAAGTACGTAGACTAATAACCTTTTATGGGTCTTGGGCCATTGTTTTACCTA